CAGGTGGGACCGAAACACAGACTCATCCTTCTCCACTAAACATACAGAAAGACCGAAAGCGGGAAGGAGAGAGCGGAGAATTGAGGTCAATTAGATTATATGAAATTGGGACACTTGGCACACTTACAAAACCATTTCATTAGTGTCTCATGTTGCCCTTATGCCCCAAATCAGGGGGAAGGAAATCCTGTACAATGTGGGGGATTGTGGGTGTCCTCAGTCTCCAAATCAACTTGTCAGACGGGTCAGTATTTTCATTGTGGATAAATCTTAAGGCTAACAGCCGGGTCTGGTTACATAAGTACATATAACCAACCTACCATTAATTCACCAGCCACTTCACTGAAGTGCACACTACCCCTTCAAAACGAGTGGATTGGTGAAAGGTGGGGCTCTAATAAATACCCTACTAACAAATTCAAGTGGGGACAGACTAGTGTGGACTTGAGACAGAGTGTGTAAAATGGGATGGGGCCACGCCCAGTTACCTGTCTCCATGTTGACCAGCAGGTCCTGACAGTGTTGCCGGGCGGCGTGTGCGTCTCTCTCCAGCTCCCGCCTCTCAGACGGGCTGAAATGGGCACTCTCTCTGCTGTCGGACAGGAAGTCAGCCAGGTGGGCTTCCAGGTGGTCCAGGATCTGGTCCCTCTCCTCTGGGGACTGGGAACGCACCTGACGGGGGCAGAGGGACGGAAATTGGCAAAGAAATTGACGAGAAAGAGAGCAATATGTTCTTTTCTAATAGTGCTGTTATATTTTATTTATTTTGTTTATGTATGTATGTTTTCCATGCCATTAAAGCCCATTTAATTTAATTGAATTGAACAAGGCAGAGGGACATAGAGAGACTAATGTCTGTTATATTTAAGACATTGGAATAAATATTAAGCATGAAGTAATATGTAATAATTGTTAAGAGTTCAGTTATGATGTGTATTGTGACAGAGTGAAGATGAGAACAATTTCAACTACACAGAGCAGGAAGCCATCGTAACAAAGTGACAGTAAACGACACCGAGCCAGATACACGCAGAAAGAAAAATTAAACCGGAAACCGATTTCAAACCGAGATACGTTTAGGTCAATAAACGCTACAAAGTCCGTCAGAACCAAGACGTTCAGACGCTGATGAGAAATCCAGAGTTAAAGGGGGTGTGTCTAACCACGTTGAGGTTCCAGGAGGACACGGTCCTGGTGTCATTCAGGAGGTAGTGCCAAGAGACCACGCTCTTCATATCCACGTGCAGCTGGTGCCACAGAGACATGACGTTCTGGTACAGCTGCTCCATCCTAGCACACGCAGTCAACAACACAGGATTTGACATGAGAGAACGTGTGTGTGCGTGTGCATTCGTGTGAGCTTTTATCAGTTTGTGTGTGTTCGGTGTGTGTGTGTGTGTGTGTATGTATACATGTGAGCTTTTATCAGTTTGTGTGTGATCGGTGTGTGTGTGTGTTTGTTCGGTGTGTGTGTGTGTGTATGTATACATGTGAGCTTTTATCAGTTTGTGTGTGATCGGTGTGTGTGTGTTCGGTGTGTTTTCTGTGTGTGTTTGATGTGTTTGGTGTGTGTGTGTGTGTTCGGTGTGTGTGTTCGGTGTGCGTACGAGGCGTTCTCATACCTGCTGCCCATCTCCATGGCCTCCTGGTTGGGCGGAGGCACAGTGAAACAGACCGACGGGACCATAGCCTCGTTCCCACTGGGGCTGATCACCTTCCACTTAGTCCTCTGGGAATTGTCCTCCAGCACACACTCCTCCCCTCGACTGATGGTGATCTATGGAAGGGAGGGAGGGAGGGAGAGAAGGGAGGGTGATAGAGGTGGGAGGTCAGGAGCAAGATGGAGAGAGATGGAGACAAAGAGCAAAGTAGGACAAGAACAAGGGATGATCAAGGGAGGTTTGGGCAGTAGGGGGGTGAGTTGGAGAGGGGGAGGTTTGGGCAGTAGGGGGTGAGTTGGAGAGGGGAGGTTTGGGCAGTAGGGGGTGAGTTGGAGAGGGGGAGGTTTGGGCAGTAGGGGGATGAGTTGGAGAGGGGGAGGTTTGGGCAGGGGGTGAGTTGGAGAGGGGGAGGTTTGAGTTGGAGAGGGGGAGGTTTGGGCAGTAGGGGGTGAGTTGGAGAGGGGGAGGTTTGGGCAGTAGTGCGGATGAATTGGAGAGGGGGAGGTTTGGACAGTTGGGGGGTGAGTTGGAGAGGGGGGAGGTTTGGCCAATAAGGGGGATGAGTTGGAGAGGGGGAGGTTTGGGCAGTTGGGGGGTGAGTTGGAGAGGGGGAGGTTTGGACAATAAGGGGGATGAGTTGGAGAGGGGGGAGGCATGAGAGGGAAAAGGGAGAACGAAAAAGAAATAACGAATTACAGGCACAAACAAATAATACAAAGCCAAAATTTAGGTGGATTTAATGGGGTTAGCAAAAGTCCTAAAAACTGAACTTACCAGAACGGTGCCTTATTGAACAGAGAAGCCATTCAAAAGCCACAGGCCTAAAACAGACGTCCGTTGACTGAAACTGGCTACGTGTCCAAACTAAGTACAATATTTGTCGACGTCTTATCTGATCAACAATGATCACAGAAAAACTCGATTTATGATTTGGCATGGCGATGGTGTGTTTTGAAGCGGTATTTATTTAGACTCACTAATTATTTAGCTCTGCCAAGCAATGAACTGAAATGTCACACACTAAGTCAGATAGTCTAACCCCCAACCCACCCCCCCCCACCCACCGTACCTCCCACCGCTGAACACAAACATTGTTACCAAAAAAGCAAATGCACAGAGAATCTCATCTGTCTATGTACGGCTGGAAGGATAACTTCCTGGTTACGCCCTTAGCAACCGACCAGCGACCCGGTTCCGTCATTCACCGGCGATGTGTAAAATACAAAAACGGGTCGGTCAATTGATAAGAGCGGCCAGAGAGCGTTCCCTGTGTTTAGGCCAAGCGTTGAGGTACGAGGTAGAGGACGTGGACGGAAGTACCTGAACGTTAGCCTGGACCGCCCAGCGGACACACGTAGAGGAGAGGAGGAGGACACAAAGGAGGAAGAGAGGGAAATGTGGGGGGCGTGGAGGGGAAGGGATGCGGTAGGAGAAGGAGAAGGAGGGGGGAGAGAGAAACATTATTTTGGGATGGCGTCATGACGAACGTGTCCGGCTTTTTAAGTGGAATGTGCGTGAAGGAAGTGTGTGTGTGTGTGTGTGTGTGTGTCTGTGTCTTTTGGGGGGGGGTCTGCAGTAGGCGAAGATGAAGGATAGAAGATAGGAGATGAAGGCCACTTCCGCAACGACTGAGTCTCTCAGCTTCTCCAACGCACTGAAAAACGTTTTTCACACACATTGCCTGAAGGGGCGAACCGTCCTTGACTCTACGAGGCTCATTCAGCAAGACTAAAACAGACGAGTCCTCTGTCCTCTTTCAACTCCACAGGGGGGACAATGCGGACCTTCCATGTGCCCAGGTGGGTGACATTCAGAATGAATAGATGTGAACATTTATGATTGCCTTGCACAACACATTAGACCAATGACAGAGAGGCTTTGCGTATCAAAGTCAGTGGGACCTGAGTGGGTGTCACTGGTCACATGGTATTCACTTCTGGTCACATGGTCTCATTCCTCAATTATTCAGTGATTTTAGGGCACTGGCAACAGTAGATTATTACAGATTATCCTTATATGTTTAACAAGAGTGGATTTTCTATCATGACACAACGGCATAATAGAACTGACAAAAACATTAACCGCAAAACAGGTTTCAAAGCAAACATTATGAGATTAAACGTATAAATGTCATCCAAACAATTAAGGATAATTGATTCCATTCCACTAAAATCTGTCCACTTGTCTGTCTCCAGGCAACATAATGAAGTGTGATGTTGATGTGATGTGATTGTTGCCACCAAACAACGGCCGTTAGCTTGTAGCGCTCTCACAATCAACCATTAATGGAAAAACCCACGTCAGGGTCGCAATTTGAATTCACAAGTTAATTGTAAAAGTCATTGAGAAATCACTGGAATAAATTAATCCAATTACCAGACAAACTGTCTGGGTTTGTTTTTTTTTCACGCACAAACACAGCAGAACAGATAATTACCATGACTGACTGCATGCAAACTATTATGTGTAGAGCTCACACCCGCTGCCTGTTCCATGTCAGATTTAGATTTAGAAAGAAAAACAATTTATTTCCCAGATATACATTTCCATAACCATGCCGGTAAAAGTGCTTCGAAACATTGTGTTTTATGATTTAAAGTATTATAATTTCATTATTATTATTTACATTATGATTATTATTTACATTATGATTATTATTTACATTATTATTATTAACATTATTATTATTTACATTATGATTATTATTTACAGTATGATTACTATTTACAGTATGAGTATTATTTACATTATTAGTAGTATTTACATCATTATTATTTACATTATGATTATTATTTACATTATCATTATTATTATTTACATTATGATTATTATTTACATTATTATTATTATTATTTACATTATTATTATTTACATTATGATTAGTATTTACATTATTATGATTATTATTTACATTATTATTATTTACGTTATTATTATTTACATTATGATTATTATTTACATTATTATTATTTATATGATGGTTATTAGAGTGATGTGTGCCAGTTTGGTTTCATATAGCGAGGGGTGCTGGGTAAAAACTAAACAGTTGGCTTTGGCGTACAGTAAGGGTGTGGTAATGTGTCTATGTGTGTTACCTCTATCTGCCGGTAGTCACAGATGGCACGGATGGGCGTGGTGCTTCCCAGGGTGCTCTCCGTGCTCCGGGGGCGGAGTTGCACCACCGTCTTGGCCCTGCCCACCAGGCTTGCCACCGAGCTGCGGTACTCAATCAGCTGCTCCTTCTCCTCCTGCGGGGCACAGCCATTTGTTGGTGAGAATGTCATTTTATTTTGTGTTTTATTTAACCTTTATTTAACCAGGTGGGAACATATTCTAATCTGCAACGGCTGGGGATTGAACCCAGGACATCATACATACAAAGCATGCACTCTACCAGTTAGCTATCAATTTCTCTATTTGCTCAATTAACCAACAAAATCAATGGTGGTATCAAATCGGTATGGTTTCTAGACAGGGCCTCACATTACACAAGAGTTCAAAATGTCAGATTTTACTTCATGGTTAAATAAAAGAGACATAAAATGAAATCTCCAGGACTACAGTCATTATGACCGTACAAAATGTGTATTATTGTTATTTCATTCCCATACATATCACTGAACTCGAATCTGTCATGTACAGCAATAATCTTTCTCCACATCACAGCCACGGAGGTCCATTAGGTTAATTTACGATCAAAATAACCAGTGTTCTTTATACTAGCTAAGCTAACCATTACACTTTAGACCCGGCATTAGCTTAATTCCTCAGTGTGAGATGTAGATGCCATATATGTTTCTCCCTGACAGGAAGCTTCATTAGGGTTCATGTTCAGAGGTTTAAGGCACTGGGCAAGCCAAAGGCCAGATTTAGGGAAGGGATTAATTGTTAATAGCTACTTTCCGAGAGGCTGAATTAACACTAAGCTAGCATTAGCCACGGGTTTGTCATACGAGAGGCGAATTAAGCATTCATTTATTATTGACTGGATTATTTCAAGAAATGCATTTTGAGAAAAACTAATAAACGCAACAATATTTGTTCACCAATCTTAGTTATAAGGTCTGTCTAATAAAGCGCTCTTGTTGGTTGTGTTTATGGAAGAGGACTAAGGGGACATCTGTCAAAGTGCAATTTCCATGCAAATCAAGCTAGCACTCATTGCGGGGCTACATACTTCTGAAATCAATACGTTCCGTTACACTAAATATACTACTTTTGACATTGTTTTTCTTGTTTATTTCAACACATACCAATACTGCCCAATAGCATCTAGCTTGCTATTGATATGTTGTAAACATTCAGTTTCACCATCTTCACATTAGAAATGGCATTGTTTGTAATGATACAATTATTTGTTATTAACATGGCAGCTAAGTCAGAAATGTCACATTGATTATTCAATTACATGTGCATGAGCACTAATCAAGGCATTAGCTTTTCACTGACGGATACCGGAATAATTCCAGACAATCTAACCAGTTAATGCAATAATGGAGAAACTGGCAGAAATTTAGGGTTTTTGATGAATTACTGGAATTAGTGAATATAACAAGCGAGTTAGAGGTGACATAGTGTCTTGTAGCAGAATGTACAATGTTGAGTTGTGATTAATACAATATTAGACTGTGATATCAAATGTCGCCAAAATAAACTGTAATTGGCTCTATGTCTTATGAATAATAAAGTAAGTTAATGTCAGAGAGTCTTGTAATGAATACAGCATAGTCATTTACAATAGAGTCTTGTAATGAATACAGTAGAGTAATTTATCATAGAGTCTTGTAATGAATACAGTAAAGTCCTTTACCATAGACTCTTGTAATGAATACAGTAGAGTAATTTACCATAGAGTCTTGTAGTGAATACAGTAGAGTAATTTACCATAGAGTCTTGTAGTGAATACAGTAGTGTAATTTACCATAGAGTCTTGTAATGAATACAGTATAGTCATTTACCATAGAGTCTTGTAATGAATACAGTAAAGTCCGTACCATAGAGTCTTGTAATGAATACAGTAGAGTGATTTACCATTGAGTCTTGTAATGAATACAGTAGAGTCATTTACCATAGAGTCTTGTAGTGAATACAGTAAAGCCCTTTACAATAGAATCTTGTAATGAATACAGTAGAGTCATTTACCATAGAGTCTTGTAATGAATACAGCAGAGTCATTTACCATGGAGTCTTGTAATGAATACAGTAAAACCCTTTACAATAGAGTCTTGTAATGGATACAGTAGAGTCATTTACAATAGAGTCTTGTAATGAATACAGTAGAGTCATTTACCATAGAGTCTTGTAATGAATACAGCATAGTCATTTACAATAGAGTCTTGTAATGAATACAGTAGAGTCATTTACCATAGAGTCTTGTAATGAATACAGCATAGTCATTTACAATAGAGTCTTGTAATGAATACAGTAGAGTAATTTACCATAGAGTCTTGTAATGAATACAGTAGAGTAATTTACCATTGAGTCTGGTAATGTATACAGTAGAGTAATTTACCATAGAGTCTTGTAATGAATACAGTAAAGTCCTTTACCATAGAGTCTTGTAATGAATACAGTAGAGTAATTTACCATAGAGTCTTGTAGTGAATACAGTAGAGTAATTTACCATAGAGTCTTGTAATGAATACAGTAGAGTAATTTACCATAGAGTCTTGTAATGAATACAGAAGAGTCTTGTAATGAATACAGTAGTGTAATTTACCATAGAGTCTTGTAATGAATACAGAAGAGTCATTTACGATAGAGTCTTGTAATGATTACAGTAGAGTAATTTACCATAGAGTCTTGTAGTGAATACAGTAGAGTAATTTACCATAGAGTCTTGTAATGAATACAGTAGAGTAATTTACCATAGAGTCTTGTAGTGAATACAGTAAAGTGAATTACCATAGAGTCTTGTAATGAATACAGTAGTGTAATTTACCATAGAGTCTTGTAATGAATACAGAAGAGTCATTTACGATAGAGTCTTGTAGTGAATACAGTAGAGTCATTTACCATAGAGTCTTGTAATGAATACAGTAGAGTCATTTACCATATATTCTTGTAATGAATACAGTAAAGTGAATTACCATAGAGTCTTGTAGCAGGTCCTCCAGCTTGCCCAGCCGGCTGTTCTTATCACAGGTGTACTGTCTCTTAATGGTGTCCTGTAGCTGGCGCAGGTAGGTCTCGCAGTCCCGCGCGTCACTCACAAACTGACAGGAGGCAGAACATGTTAATAAAACCCAGAGATCTGCACAGGGGATTATTTAAACACATTCAAACCGTAATCTAGTATTAAAGGGTTTTGAAGATTAAACAGATTTACTGTACAGTTCTACTTGACGGCTGGTCAAAACCTCGATAGGTCCTCGATTAATCCTGTGTAACTCAGACGGTAAAAACATGCAGATTGAGACGCTAGGGTTGTGCGATATATTGCAACAAAATTCATTGCGATAAAAGATATTATTGCGATTTTTTTCAGAATGTCGTCTTTGACTTTAATGTACACGAATGGAATGGCAGTTTGGTAGATGTACGTTTACTTTGGCAATTCGTAATGTTTGTCAAAGGTTTGCATCATATTTTTAAATGCTGTTTTTTCAAACGTGTTTAATGGCTGCATCTCTTTGGCTATATAGCGAGTTACGCTATATGAGTGAGTGTGCGCCATTTATCTATCGCGTTTATATTTACACTGAACCAAATAACTGTCTAAGACCCCATTTCAGCTGCAGTTCTTGTTCCCAGGTACAAAAACTGGGTGTGATGGTTGTGTTTTAGGTGAGATTGGAGATTAGTTATGTTGCCTCTTTTCGTTGCTACTGTTTTTAATTGTCTTCCTTTCTCATTCGGCTTAAAGCGTAAATGTTCCCACACCGGCTTTGAAACCAACTACATTTGGACTTATTCTTCCTAACTGGCTGTATGTCACTATGAAACAGTCCACTTCATAACACAGTGTGTCGGCTCTGTGTGTGTGTGTGTGTGTCCGCTGCTCTGCTCTGTGTGTGTGTGTCCGCTGCTCCGCTCTGTGTGTGTGTGTGTGTGTGTGTCTGCTGCTCCGCTCTGTGTGTGTGTGTCCGCTGCTCTCTGCCTTGAGCCCCGCCTCCTGAGCCCGCCTCCTCTTTCGACATAGAATGAGACCAGATCTACGCCTATCTACGCCCTCACTACAGCCTGTCGCTCTGGATGACAGCTTATGATAACGACTGACACGCAACTAAAGCAGTCAGACTAAAGTAAACACATTTCTGTTAGAGCAGACCTGTGTGAAAGGACCTGAGGTCTCCTACCTGGAAGTAGGCCGTGTTGTCTTTGAGATGCGTCTCCACGCACACACACAGCTGCCGCACCCACTGCCATTGGGTCTGCAGCGCTGCATTGTAAGCCTGCGGGGCAGAGGGGCCACATATTGAATATACCGTTTGTACTAAGGCGTTCTGCGGAAAAGGCATTTTTTTTGAGTGGCCAATCAAGAACCTCGATAGACATGTTGCTAGGCAACCTCACCTCCACGGTCTGTTTGGCTGGGTGGTTCTCCTGACACAGCTGGTCGGCCGTTTCCTGCAGCGAGTGCATCACTTCCTGTTTCTCATCCAGCTCTGACCTCATTTCCTGCGAGACGACAACAAGGCACTCAGGAAGGGAATGCAGGGGGTATCTGTGCAACACTTTTATAAACGCGTGCGTGCGTGTGTGTCTCTCTATCGATTAATCCATCCAACTTACAGAGAATGACTCTCTCTTGGCGTTGACGTTGGTATTGTTGTAGCTCCAGTCGTACGCCAGCTCCTCCTCTTCCCTCTCATTAAGACAGATGAGCTCCTCCGTGCAGCGACACACAAACGCGTGTAGGCTCTCCAGGCAACGGAGACGCCACGACGAGTGTTCCTGCGGAGACAGGGGACGGCGTGAGTGTCTGCTCCCTGGGCTCTGCACGTCAATATGGAGTGGTTAATCCAAAAAATAAATACATTACAACAGGTACACACACACAGCCACACTGGACCCTCACACACTCGCTTTCTGTACTTAAATCCACTTAGTTCCACAGGGTGGTTCAAAGGGCTGTGTGGCAGATGCTTAAGTCTACTGCAGTGGATCTCTCCCCCAGAGTTAGCCCAGTCACACAGACCCCGTCTCCCCCAGAGTTAGCCCAGTCACATAGACCCCGTCTCCCCCAGAGTTAGCCCAGTCACACAGACCCCGTCTCCCCCAGAGTTAGCCCAGTCACACAGAACCCGTCTCCCCCAGAGTTAGCCCAGTCACACAGACCCCGTCTCCCCCAGAGTTAGCCCAGTCACACAGACCCCGTCTCCCCCAGAGTTAGCCCAGTCACACAGACCCCGTCTCCCCCAGAGTTAGCCCAATCACAGACCCTGTCTCCCCCAGAGTTAGCCCAGTCAC